ATACATTTTGTTTCTGGCTGCAGATGGTAATATGTAAGCTTCACTGCAGCTTGCCCAGCCTAATTGGGGTTAGTTCAGGGGGCACACAAGCCAAAGGCATGGCGGGGCAGCAGGATCTGACGCAGAGCAGGAAGCAGTGCTGTTCCCGAGAACCCTGCTGTTCTGGGTGAGGAGTTTGTGCTTCCTCCCACAGGAGACTGGGAGCAGGGGAGCCCTTTAACCCACCTCCCAGCATTGGGATCACAGGCCCGCTGCCACATCTGGCTATTTTACTTATTTATTGTTCCTATGTGAGTGCTGGGGATCTGACCTTGGGCCCATATGCTAGTGCAGTGAGCACTTTATCCCCACTGAGCCATCTCCCCAGTTCCTGCTTTTTTTTTTTTCTTGCCTTTCTGAGGCTGTCCTTGAAGTCCCAGCAATTCTCCTGTCACAGCCTCCCAAATGCTGAGGTTATAGGTGTAAGTCCATTAGTCCAGCTGTTCACACCTTGATCTAAAACCCAGGAAGATCCATTTTGGACGTGTGGCCTCTTAAGCTCTGTGTGTGTGGTGTGTGTTTTAAGCCATTAACGTTGTGGTAATTTGTTAGACAGGTTTACAGGTCACTTGCAATAATCCAGGAAACATGCTGAAGGCCTAGTGCAGGCAGTGGAGCAGAGAAAAGGACTGAATTCCAGGAATTGAAAAGGACTCAGAGACTGAAATGGGTACTGAAGGCGGTATCCATCCCGAGATCTCATCTCTGTTTCATTTGGGAAGCCCCTGACTACATTTCTGTCCTGTCCTAGGGCAGAGTGTTTGCATTTCTGATAGGAGAACTCCTCTGAGGACGAACCCTTAAGGAAGTGCTGCAGTGAGACGCCTTGTATGCTGTGGGCACAAAGCTTCAGGTACTTTGTCTTAACAAGGCCTGTGTGCTGGGCTGGGCACCTGTTTCCTGGCCAGGGAAACAAACCCAAGTTTCTAGCTCTGGTTCATCAATTCTGAAGCTGGCAGCCATGCTTGCTTAGCTGAATCTATTTACAGGCTTTTTTTTTTTTTTTTTTGCAGATACCATAATTTTGTAATTTTAGTTCGTGGAAGTACACTGGGTGGCTAAGCTACTGATGACTCATTTCACATTCTCATATGCCTGTTGATATATTCAGTAAGTGCTTGGGAGGACCGTCCTCTAATTATGGGTTTCAGAGTGCATTGTTTGCCTGGCCCTATCATCATCAATCAAGGCTTCTTTTATCATCTATTTGAAGCCCTTCGGAGCAACTGATCCTGCAGCGGTGAATTACCACCCACAGCTGCCTTGGTATTCACAAACAGCATGCCTGGTGTCAGCTGCAAACTGGGCAGTGTTTGATCCCCCTCATCTTGATAAGGGTGATGAGGGCTGCCTTTGCTTTCCTCTTCCTGTCTTGTGAGTCACTTGCAGACTTTTCTGCCGGACTCCCCCTGACTGCCTCACATGTAAACAGTAGCTCTCCTGATAATCGATAGATGCAGGTTATAACTGGCTAAGACCGTGAGTCTGCCATGGTGGTCGCTCTGTAGAGACCCTCCAGGCTAACATTCCTGTGGTTGCAGACAATAGGGGTAGCACAGTTTTCAAATTTTCTTCCTCACTCAGATTCATCGTTCTCTTCACAAAGCCACCAAGAAATATGACCTTTCTCTTCCCTGGGTTCCTCAGAGCTATAAATGTTAAAATTAGAGAGCTAACATTTCCTTTCCTTTCCCTTCCTTCCCATTCTCTCTTCCTTCCTTCCTTCCTTCCTTCCTTCCTTCCTTCCTTCCTTCCTTCCTTCCTTCCTTCCTTCCTGCACAGTCTCACTAAGTAGTTCTGGGCTGTCCCGAAATTTGCCACATGCACCAAACTGGCCTTGAACCCACAGATGTGCCTACCGTTGCCTCCTGGGTGCCAGGGTTAGAGCAGTGTGATACTATCCTTGGCTATTTAATTTTTTAGACAAATCTGATCTTGAATTGGTGATAATCTGTCTGCGTTTGTCTCTCGAGTGCTGGGACTACACGTATGCACCACTAGACCCTGTTTTTACTTTTTTTTAAATTCAGAAATATGTAAGTTTTATCTTCGCAGTTTGTGCTTAATACTTCTCCAGTGCAGTAAGTAAAAATTTGTACAGCATCCTCCAGTGTTTTAGTTTGGCATATCCATAGTGAAGATGATTTATTATAGAAATATATATTTATTAAACATGTAGATTTCCTCTTCCTTCCTCCCTCCCCTATCTCCTTCTTTCTTTCTTTCTTTCTTTCTTTCTTTCTTTCTTTCTTTCTTTCTTTCTTTCTTTCTTTCTTTCTTTCTTTCTTTCTTTCTTTCTTTCTTTCTTTCTTTCTTGAGGTGGTCTCCTTCTGTAGCTCTGGCTGGCCTGGAACTCACTATTTAGACTAGGCTGGCCTAGAACTCAAGACTGTGTCTGAGTGCTGGGATTAAGGGCAGGCATCACTGTACCCAGTCTTTCTTCATTGCTGAAATGTAAAAAACATTCTTAGCTTGAGGTTGCTTAAAGCAATGGCATCATTATCATCAACAAGAATAGCAAACCAAACTGGCCTTGGTAGAATCTTGGCCTTCCAGCTGGATTAAGATATTTGCTTAGTCAGACAGGGAAAAACCAAAAAACCCTAATGGCCAGTTCCTAATTTCCTCCGATTTCATATGCACTCACATATAATTCACCTTTTCTGTGGTTGTAGTCAGCTCATTTTTTTTTTTTTTGCATTCTACAGTGTATGTGTGTGTGTGTGTGTGTGTGTGAGAGAGAGAGAGAGAGAGAGAGAGAGAGATAGAGATATGTGTAGTAAATCCCAGACCCCATTCCACTCCCCCCGCCCCCAGAGTCTGTCTCTTCGGTGTGGGGTTTGCTGTATGCCCACATGGGTGTGGGCGCTGGTGCTAGGGATGGCATTTGGGTCCTCATGTTTGCACATTGAACACTTTCTCAGCCTTTCCTACCCGGCACTCTGCGTTTGCAGAACCTAAGGTACTGTGCATTTCTCCGGGTTAATGCACATTCTTGCACATTGCTAAAGCCCTCTGAAGACGGAGAGACCCACTGCAATGTAATTGTACTTCTTTTTATCCCCAGTCATCTGCATTGTGTTTGCACAAGGTAAATATTTTCCTAGCAGTGAATAACTAGTTAAAATTCGGAACTTTTTTTTATGGCTTTGGACCTTGTCCATTTGAATACTCACCTAGGCAGATAGTTTGGGGGAGGCAAAGGTATGCACCTTAGATAGAATGACCTGGATACAGAAGAATCTGGGGCCTTGGGAGTAAGAGTGCCAGGCAGGTCCCCACCAGGGCCCTGCCTGCCATAAATAATCTCTTTTGGAATCATCAATCTCCCTGACCTGCCCTGGAATTTTTACAGTCCCAGCCCCTCCTCTGTGGCAGACAATGAAGGAGCAGGTGTGGTGGCTTTAACACTCTGTACACACAGGGGTGTTTAAGGTGGACTTTTCTCATCACTGTCCCTAGTTTACTGCCGCCGGAGATTCCTGTGTGGGAGGTTCTGCCATCAGTAGGGCAGGACCTGGGCTTGAGCTCTGGGTTTGTGGGAGAAATAAAAGAGATATTGCTAACGCCAGCCAAGCTAAAGGTTGTAACGTCGCAGTTCCTTCTATGGAACTTTAAAACCAGCAGGTGGAGGCAGAAGTCCCAGTTCTCGCTCCTCTCGGTCTTCAGAGCCATCTCTAGATCTGTCAGGGTGGCCTTTGGGGTCTTCTGGGAGTGGAATTACTACTGTTAATTCCAAAAGGCTGACCAGTCACTAGCAGGCTTCTGCCGTGCCACACTATTCGTGTGCCTCCCCTCTTTTTCCCTTCGAATTCTGATTTAAAAAACAAAACAAAACTCCGCCCAAATAAAATTTTAGGAGTCATGGTCGAAGCCGGAGAACGACGTCTCACATTCCGCTTCGCCTTGGGCGGAGTCAAGGGCTTGGTGGGGTGTCTGAGTCCCAAGGGGAGCGGTGAGACAGCGTGGACTTACACTGCCCCCTCGTGGCCACAACGCGCGAGGCCGCCTCCGCCCACTCAGCCTCTAAGTGCTTCGCTGGCATTCTCTTCCACAGCCTCCTTATTCCGGCGCCCTCTGCCTCAGCCCTTTCTAATTCTACAGCTCTCTGCACATATCTCCTTTTCGACTCCTTCGGATGGTGTAGTCCGGCTCCAGGGAGCTCACTGATATTAGGACAAATCCTAAATCCACCAACACCACCTTTTTGGGCAGCGCATATACTGTATGTCCTGTACAAAGGTCCAGAGTTGGGGCTTGGCTTTTAGAAACTAAGGATGGGGGAGTGGAGATGTATGCATTTAGCAGAAGGAGACAAGGGTTGGCATGGGCCTTGGGCTTGAACATTTATGGTCAGTGTGCCCTATGCTTTGAAAGATGGAGTGTGGGAACACTGCTAAGATTTTTACATGCGATCAAACTTCCTGTGGTGGGAGCAGGGTCATTGACTTGCTTAACAGCTGGGAGGGTGTAAAGGGGACTTTGGGGTTATAGCAGCCAGGGAGGATGGCGTGGCCTGTGCATATGGAGCGAATGATTCCACAGGTCTCCTCAGTTGATTAAACAAGGAAGGGATAATGGAATGTCCATCAGGCTCCTGGCTGGAACAGTGAAGCCCAGAGGATGGAGTTAAAATCCAGTAACATTTAGGACCAGACTTGGACAGGGAGAGACAGTATCTCTGGTCTCTGACAAGCTGGGTTAGAACTATTGACTAGATGGTGGGACCTGGCTAGAGGGCTTTGCACTCTACTGATGGTAAATAATAGAAGCCTAGAGGAAAAAAGCCTTCTGGGATTTCTGGTGTGGCCCCAGGGCAGGACTCAATTGCCCTTCCTCAGTTCTGGTTCACTTTAGTCATTTCAGGACCAACCTTCTGGGTCTAGCAGGCACGTAAAAAGACCAGTGCACACAGGCAAGTGAGATGCTTGCAGTTTATTGCAGAGAGGCGATGGGGGTTGATAGGGAGAGGTCAAGGAGGCACGGGGCAATGGCAGGGGCGTTTAGCAGTAGCATATCTTTGAAATCCAGTGAGCTTCAGACCTTTGTATTTTGCTTACACAGAGGACTTGTTAGGATTTTCTCCTAGAATAAAGAAACCCCCCACCCCACACAAACATAATAGTGAGTGAACCTCAGAAGTATATGGGGTGGTAAAGCACAGACTTAACAGAGACAAAAGCTACTGCAAGTTCTGAGAGGAACTGAGGGTTAGAAGGCTTTAATAAAAAAGGCAGGCAAAACAGCTTAGCTGTAAATGCTCCTGCCATCAAACTTGGCTACCTGAGTTTGATCCATAGGACCCACATGGTGGAAGAAAAGAACCAACTCCTGAATGATTGGCCTCTGACCTCCACATGTGTAACACACACAGACACACCCACACTAAATAAAGAAAATGTTAAAATTCTTAGGAAAAAAAAAAACCCAGGAGTTATAGGACAGTAAGGCTAGCTCAGAGAGACCCCATCTAAAACACACGCGCGCGCGCACACACACACACACACACACAAATAGGCAGGGAATATGGCCAGGATATTCATTAGCCTTATAATCCCCCAAATGGTATGACACTGTAGTTGGGGAACCACTTAGAATGAATATTAGTGATGGATGTTTCATACCGTGAGATTCATGATTTTTATTCTGGTCTCTTCGGAGAGGGTATCCACCAGTTTCTTCAACTGGATTCCTGCATTTTGCAGGTCTGAGCCAGGGTTGAAAGGCTTCAGGGCTGCCTCATAACTGGACTCTGTGCCCATGAAGAGGGCCTCGAGGGCTTGAAGAAATCCTGGGCAGATGTCTGAAGAAGCTGGAGTGCAAGCAAAAGAAAACACATGGAACCTGCTTCATCTCTGAGAACCAGCCAGCACTCTGCTGGACCAGCCAGTCTGGTCAGCAAGAGATAGCAGCCTTTGGGTGATAGAGTAGAATGTAAGATCTGGTGAGGTTCCAAGAGGCTGAAAATCTGGCACAACGTGAGAACTTTCTAGGTTACAGGCAGCTTTTGTGGCTTTCCTGAGCTGCTTTTGGATTCCTGGCTTGGGTTGGCCAATGTTTCTACCATTGTTCTGGACAGAGTGTGTAATAGAAGCTGCTGGTCTGGCTGTGTTTTGCAGTGTGTGGGGACAGGGAGGAAGCCCCTGGGGGCCTTGCTTTCTACCAGAATGCTCCTCACCATGGCTAGTGGCAGTCTGTGCCCCATGTTACTGAGAGCATGTGACATAGCCCTTAGGCCAGCCAAGCATAGCCCCCAAACCTGGCCTGGAAGATCAATGCACACATGGGTTCTAGTCTGATGGCACAGTCAGTTTGCAGACAAGCCTCTCTCTCACCTCACCGTGTTCCCTGAAACAGCAGTGCTCTTTGGATTGTGCTGTGTGCCTGGGTGCCTACTCCTGCGAACATGATTTCCTCCCTGATTGCTTCCATCTTCTAACCTAGTCTCAGTCTCTGCACCCCCCCCCTCACCTGGAATTCCCTGCATTGTTTGCAAATTTGACTTTACTGCTCTGACTCAGGACCCTATTCCTGAGGCCACTCTTACTCCAAAGAGCCACTCCAGCTAATGGCCATGCTAGCTGGGTATGATAACTCACAGCACTGAGGAGGCTGAAGTTGGATGGCCGTGAATTCAGACCAGAAGGAGACCCTGTCTCAAAACCAAAAACAATGGTTATTCCAACTTAAACACCCTGCATGATGTCACCCGGCAGGGTGTTTCATTTTCCAGTGTTTCGGTTTTCTAATCTGCAAAATGGGCAAAATACCTACTTTGTGGGGTTGTTATGAAAATGAAAGGAATAGTGTGTGAAATGGCAGAGGGCGGTGACTAGCGCATTGTAGGTAGTATTAACTAGTTTTACTGTCAGAGTTTTAATAAGTCAACACATCAATATGCAAACATTCTCCAGTTCCCCCTTCACATATTTTAGCTTGTCTTGCTGAGCCACCCACCTCTGATATCTAATTAATAGACCATCTTAATCCAAAATGATATCTTTCCCTGTAAAAGCAAATAAAAACAGCTTGATTAAAAACAGCTGCCCCCACCCCCCCGCCTTTTTGTCTGGGGTCTAAATCCCTTTGGTCATAAAATCTGTACCCATGAGCATTATTAACCTTTTCAAGTACATTAATTAGGGGTTGATTTTAGAAAAATAACACAGTATTATCAGAGGGGAGTGGGGGAAGCTGATGGAGAGAAAAATCTTCCCAACTCCATTCTCAAAGCACAAGACGCCTGTCTCCTCTCTTCTCCCTCCCTCTCTCTATCCATCCTTGCCTCCCTCCCTCTCTCATTTCCCATTCCTTTCTCCATGGTGATAGCAACAACTATTCAAAGACCTCTAATCCTTTTTCCAGAGGACAGAATGTTTAGAAAATTCCACCCGGAGTTGGCAGTTTCCCAAAGGGAAGATCTCTTTCTGGAATATTCCTTTTGTCCCAGAACAAGAGACTTGGGTTTGAGGACATAAATCTCTGTATTTCCCCTTCTGGACTGACTACCAGAGTTGAGTGGGGACCCTCCCTAACCTGGAGGCTGTATCAAGGTCTCTTAGCATCTTGAGCCAGTCCTAGTCTGGGCTTCAAAGGGCCCCGTATTCCTACTCCATTTTCAGACGAATATGCTGGTCTTGAAGAGCTCTCTTGGCCCTCCCCAGCTCCGTCGACCAGGTTTCCCTAGTCCCCGGAAGCACAGGGGTTCAGGATTAGAAAGTTGAGATTCTGGGCTTTCTAGAGCTCAGTGTTTCTCCCCAAATCACAAAGTAGCATTGGTCACTAGACTCCATGTTTCTGAGGCTCAGCATTCTCTCTACCCAGCAAGCCACAGAAGGATTGGCCACATCCTTCTGTCCTTGAGAAAGGGACCTGGGCACTCACCTGAGCTGCAGCAGATGGACAGCATGACCATAGTGGTTACGATGGTTATCTTCATGGTGGAGACTGAGAGGCTCTGGCTGTCTGTGGATGTGGGGTGGGATTGTGTGTGTGTATGGGTGCACAGACCAGGTTTTATATGTTCTAGGCAGCTCACAAGAGGTAGGGGGGCAGGGACTGGGCTCCACTTAAGATATTGCCTTATTTACTTGGTCATCTCTGTGGAGTAAGCAAATAATCTCTTTTCTTAAACCCGGTTTCTGTTCCCATTGAAACTGAGCTCACATAACAGGGCACTTGTGGGGCGTTCAGGCAGCTGGTGTGGGGCGGGGGGGGGGGACTCAGAAGTCGTAGAAGTGTGGACACCGGTGTCCTCTCTCTGAAGTCAAGCACTGAGCCCTCTGGATTCCAGGAAGCAGTTGCTAACCCTGGAGAACCTGAGGCTGGAGGCCCTCCACCAATCACAGGGAAGGGCAAAGACTGAGGATTCTAAGATGCCACGGGGCTCCTCCTGCCTTCCTGTAACAAAGGTATCTAGACTTCACACCACAAAAGTCCCTTGATTCTTGGCCATCATCGGGCCCAGTGGATCCTGAACACAGCAGATATGAACAAATGAAAACTTTTCCATAGTACACATCAGAGACTCTGGTCCCTGATCAGGCAAGCTAGGTCTCCTCCTATCCAAAGCCTTCCTTAAGCCTGTCCTTCTGATGGCCAGTTGAGGGCACCTTCAGTCTTGACCTGACCTCTCCCTGACCTTTACCCTATAGCCTCCTCCTTCTTGCCCCATTCCCTTCCAGGCTCTCCCACACTTGGCTCTTTCCTGTTTTCCTTCCTTGGACATTCTTTCTTATTCTTTCTTGATGTTGACAGTTCTCAAGTGTTAGTAGTTCCCAGGCTTCAGCCTTAGCCTCCTTACTTCCCATGACCTCGTTCAGTGTTTACTCTTTTAGTTCTCCGGTGCCCTTGTGTCTTAGCATGTAACCTGGCTTGCTTGAAATCAACACCTTCTCCGGTCTCTCTGCTTCCAGCTTGCACTCCCCAGTCATTCTCCATTTCCACAAATCCTATTCAGACATCTAGATTGTCTCAAATGTTCATCCATCCACTCACTCAATAGGTGCTTGGTACCTACTATAGTGCATGGGACTGAAAATTGGGGAAGACCTGGAGAGGCATTTCAGGAGCCCCTCATGAGCTTCCTCATAGAGGTTGTGAGAAGTGTGGTCAGCCAAAAGCCTCCAGCTTCCAGTAACTTCAGACTTTGCCCAAGCTGCAAAGCTTTGCCTTGCTTAAGGTTGCTTTTTTCCCCCCAGAGCTGTTGGCATCTAATGACATAATATGAAGGGGATTGAAAGTTATGGACATTTTGGGTTGCCTCTTTCCAAATGGCCCTGGGCCAACAGGATACACTTTTCCATTGTTCTTTAACTGTCCACTTCTGTGTCTCTGGCTGGACCCTTACATAGAGGCTGACCTAGTCATCGCTATAGAAAGAGCTCTTATTCGGTTTCTCCACAGAATAGCTTTGTAAAGACCATTTTCATCTCTGTCTTTGAGTCCTAGAGTGAGATTGTCTCTACATGTTTTTCCAAACCAGCTGTTAATCAGGGAAGCCTTCCTGGACATATGACACGGCATTTAGTGCTATAATCCGGTGGCTGGGTACAGAAAGGAGTGAGTGCCATTTTAAAGATAAGAGCCTTTAAAACAAACTGGTGCTACTGGTGGTGGTGGTGGTGGTGGGTGCTGCTGCTGCTGGTGGTGGTGGTGGTGGCGCTCGCCTGTAATCCAGCTCTCAGGAGGCAGAGGCAGGTGGATCTTTGAGTTTGAGGCCAGCCTGGACTACAGAAGGAGTTCCAGGACAGCCATGGCTGTACAGAGAAACCCTTTCTCAAAAAGAACAAACAAAACAAAAGAAAACACCAACCAAAACCAAACCAAACTTAAATAAATAAATAAAATGAACATGGTGATTTAGGGAGATTGGGCACGAAATGCCTGTTGTGCAAGCGTGAGGAACTGCGTTTGGCTCCCAAGCATCCTTGCAAAAAGCTAGGTGTGCCTGGAATCCCTGTGGGGAGGTGGAGACAAGGGGAGCCTGGAAGCTTGCTGATGAGCCTCTCTAACCAAATGGGCCAGATTCAGATTCAGTGAGAGGCTCTGTGTGAAGAACAAGATGGAGAGGGACAGAGGAAGACATCTGATGTCGACCTCTGACCTCCACCCTGTGCAGCACACTCTTGTACACACACCAATAAGTCATATTCATAACACACACACACACACACACACACACACACACACACACACACGAAAGTCTGTAGTGTGCACCCTCTGTGGACAGCTGCATGCAGGCCCCTTTCAGGGCTTAACTTATGGGGCTTTCCAGATTGTCTGGATCCTGCATTAGCTTCTGCTGTAAGACCTGGGGTCTCACAGCTCAGGAGTTCAAGATCGCGCCCTTCCCAGAAACTCCCCCAGGCCAAGACTCGTTGCAAAAGCAAGAGGTTTATTAACCATTGCACAATGGGGTCACCCCTGCTGGTCAGCAAAGAGTGGCACCGGGAGACAAAGGCCTTTAGGTTTTTAAAAGAAAAATTGCGGGAGATTTGAAGTTGCAGTCTTGGCAATTTATTATTGGATGAGGAAGCTATAAAGTAAGATAATTGGTTAGTCTTAGGTGCTCAAGCTTGGCCAGTCCTGCCAAGTGTGGATGCAGCTGCAATTGAAGGTGGGGTGGTTAGCTCATCCTTGAAGATTAGGGGCTACAGACTTTTGGCTGGAGGTCAAAAGCTACTCAGAAGAAGTCTAGGTTTGTTGCTAAGAAATGCTGTCTCAAAGACAGGAATTTTTCTTTTTGCTGAGTGAAGGTCATTGCTTGCTTCCCTTTTTTTCTATCTGTCCTCATAGATAGGGTCACATTTTTCCATTTTCTGGAAAGGTACTAAGAGGCTTTAGCTTAACCTGAACCTAAAACTCAAAACTATAGGCTTTAGAAGACATACAGGTTACAAAGTTAGTCTAACCCTTTCACTGCTGCTTGTCTCCATCTGTCCTGTTCTACAAGCCCCCCCCCCCCCCCATCTTCCATGTTCATTTATGGGCTTCTTCTCTCCTCTCCGTACCTCACTCTTCCTTTATGAGTGGGCTTCTGGCTCAGGTCGTGAAAACACAGTGCTGTTCCTGGGTGATGCCTCAGTGGGCAGAAGATGGAGGTTGGCCTGGGGAAGGGAGTGATCCTCAGGTTACTACCAGCAAGAGTACCAGACAGGCTCTTCCGTCCTGGTTTTTGGGAGAGCCCTGCTTGGCAGCAGTGGGCCTTTCCCCTGCCCCGGGATCTGTGAAACTCCTGCTTCTGTGAACCTCCACAGGAATGTGTCATCCAAGGCCTTAACGCATGTCACCCACCCACCCCACACTTTGACTTACAGGCTAGAGCCCTAAGCTTGCTTAGCACCTAGGGGAGGGCTAGGGACTGCCATCTGTAGTTGCACTGGGGGCAGGTGTGATACTGTCAAAAGTCAAGCTCTCTGGGAAAGAGAAGCCACTTGGTTACTAGTAGGTGGTATTGAATTGGCACATCTCCTACTGGTCCCTCTACCCTGCTGACGTTCTGCATTAGCTGTGATTGGTTCTGGAGAGTCTTGATCCTTAGATTGATGGAGAGCTTTGAGGTCTTCTGGAGTGATATAAGTACGTGGGGCCTGATCTTAGAAAAGGTCAGGAGGAGCCTCACCCAGAATCTGGGGGGACTGATGGGCCTGGATGCTTCGCTTGGGTATTTGGATTCTTAAGTCCCTAGGTCAACCGACCCTTCCCTCACACCAGTGGTGTGTGTGTATAACACGTGAGTATGCATGTGGGTGCCATGTTGCTAGGCCATGTTCAGTGTCTCCTAGTGAGCCCTTTTCCTGTTCTCCCTTATGACTCTAGTGGCAATGGCAGGAGGGAGGGGTGAAGCTTACGGTAGCTTCCACCACGTACTGCCAGGAGGTATTGCCTAAGACCAGGCTTTAGTGCTTAGCCTATCCCCAAAAGCAGAAGCTGGGGAACAAGTCTCAGCATGGTCCAGGAAGCAGGTTGGAGGCTCTGGGTGGGCCATTCTGAGCCATAGAAGGACTGGGCTGCAGAAGGACTGGTCAGACCACATGAGCTGGGGTCAGCTCATGAGGTCAACTGTGGGGCAAGCTGTAGAGGCCCATCTCCACGTCCTCCCCCAGAGGCTAGCTCTGAGATTACTCAGGAAACAGCTGTCAAACAGAACAGATTTTCCCTCATGAGTTTGATTCATTTTCTTCTGCCCCAAGGCTGACCCCTGCATTGATTTAGAACCCTTATAGGAAGGGCTTGGTACCTTCTGAGGGAGTTTGTTCTGCTTAGCAGTGATGATGCCCAGATCCATAGGACTTTTCTTTTTTTAAATATTATTTTAAATTTTATTTTATGTGTATAGGTGTTCTGCCTGTGTGTATGTCTGTGTACAATGTACATGCCTGAGTTCCTCTAAAACTGGAGTTACAGCCAGCTGTAAGCTGCCAAAGAGGTGTGGGGAACTGGACCCAGGTCCTCAGGAAGAGCAGCCAGTGTGCTTAACCACTGAACCATCTCCCTCTCCAGGTCTCCTTTGAGCTTTTTTTAGAGGACCTAAAATAATGGTCATTGTCTTAGTTAAGGTTTTATTGCTGTGAAGAGACACAAACTCACAGAGATCCTCCTGCCTCTGCCTCCGAGTGCTGGAATTAAAGGTGTGCATCATCAATGCCCAGCCCATGGCAGCTCTTATGAAGGAGAACATTTAACTGGGACTGGCTGCAGAGGTTTAGCCCAGCGTTGAGAAGTTCAGTCCATTACTGTCACGGAGGGAAGCATGGTGGCTTGCAGACAAACATGGTGCTGAAAGTAGCTGAGAGCTCTACATCAACAGGGAGGACGAAGAGAACTGATTTGAGCTTCAGAGACCTCAAAACCCACTCTCACAGCGACACACCTTCCTTGTCAAGGCCACACCTACTCCAAACAGACCACACCTCCTAAGAGTGCCACCCCCAATGGGCCGAGAATTCCAGCACATAAATCTTTGGGGCCATTCCTATTCAAACCATCAGTCATGTGGCCATCCCATTGACTCTAAAATGTGGAAAGGAGATCTCTAAATTGTTGTCGGTGAATATTTATCTAGATGACAGA